CCCCCGCCTGCTGTCCTCTATCCTCTCATTTACATCTCACTGCCTGTATGTATATGTCAGCCACTCTCTTCAGGGTCTTCACAGTCCACAAAGGACCCGGTCCACGTTGACCGGGTAGGCCGAATCCTTCGAAGGATTCAGCACCTGAATTTGGACACAGCTGTAGATTCACTCAGTTTTAAGTGGTGATGTAATCAGCTGAGAACATCTGGCCCCGCCCACTAATCAGCACCTGCAGCAAAGGGACAAGAAGACCACAGAACCCAAACATGGGTCAGGTGACTCATCTGACTGGGAGGTTTTGGTGCCGGCCCAGGAGTCTCTGTAGAGATTACAGATCCTCTCTGAAAGTGAGCCGGAGAGGGTCTCTGAGGAGGAGAAAGAGATAAACTTTAGCTCCTTTTAGCTTCTATGCAGTGATATTTGTGTTTTCTCAGTTTTCTCTGGTTAAGTTTCGGATGTCAGCACACGCTGTGAACCCTCCAGCACCCAGACTCTGGTGGACCTGCATCAGAACTGGACCGGCATCCAAACGGACCTGGACCGGACAAACGCCGTCTTTAAATAGTTTTTTTAACAGATCAAACACGTTTCTCTGCGAGCGGACCCACCTGTAGCGAGACCTCCTGCCGCTCGAACGTTTCTCCTCCTCGCCTGCAGACGAACGGCAGGACTGACCCCCGCCTGGCCTCAGACCCCTGACCCCTCTGCTCCCACTGGACTCGGACCCTGAACGCATCGCGTCTACTTCAGGCTGAAGGTTGAGGAACGCGTTGYTTCTTCTTTCCTCACACTCGAGTCTGACTGAAACTTTCTTTTTTTCTCGCTCTCGGTCTGTTTGCTGTCATTCGAGCTTCCCAGCGAGGAGCCTCCTCCTCCTCCTGGTTTTATCTCTATCTCTCCCCCAGTCACTTTGCTGTAGCTCTCCTCCTCCCTCCCTCTGTTCCTCCTGCTGCTGACCTTGCTTTGGAAGCCTAAACCTCACGCCCCGTTCATTCCTTTCACCGCGTCCCTCTTCAGTTTCACACGGTCCGCCCGGCCCTCCAGTCTGAGGTTTCTCATCTGAGCCTACAGAACCAACAAAAAMATGAGGGTTTCGTGTCTAAAACTCGATATCTACAGGGGTGGAGGCACCTCCAAACCGCCTGAGGCAGAGAGTTGTTGGCCCTTTGTCACCGGCCGAGCTGCAGCAGCGCCGTGGCCTCGCCACCTGTTAGCAGCCGGGACAATGTGGACGGGTCCTGAGAGAGTCCCCGGTGTCGGCCCCACTCCGTCCACTCGGCGGCTCGGAACAATGAGCCTCTGTCTGGAGCTCCGGACCGTCTGAAAGAGAGATTTGATGAGAGGAAGGAGGGGTGTGGAGGGGAGTGGAGGAATTCCAGCTTTTATCAAARTTKGTTCAAACTTCCAGAGGTTTTTGTCCCGTCGCCCAGATTCCAGAGGGTTCTAATGAGGGAGAGAAATCTGAGACCAAACTCTGATCAAAGCAGGAATTAAAATGTTTTCTTTAAACTTTAGTTATAACTATGATAACGAGCCATAATACCATGATTTATGGTTAGAAATAAG